CGGCGCCCCCCGTGCAGGGAAGAGCTGCACGCGGCTCTGAGGCTGCGGCGCGCACGGAGCAGCCGGGCGCCGGGGCAGGCAGCGCCCGCGCGGGAACGGCGCCGAGCGCGGGGGAGCGCGCAGTCGTTTGTGCATAAATTGCACGGTTTTATCTTGACAGTCATTCGGGGAGATGGCTAAGGGCTGCGGAGGGCATTTCTTATCCTATATTGAAGTTATGAATCACGGCGTAATTACACAAAGCGGCACTTGCGCGCTGGCGACGCGGAAGTTTCAGCCAGGGAAATGGCACGAGCCGGGGAATGTTCGAACCCGGAGAGCGCAGGGAGAGGCCAGGGGGGCTCCGCACCTTCCCTGGAGCCCCTCACCGTGCCCTCGTGGCCCTGTCCCCTTCGTGCTTTGCCCTGGGCGTACAAAGGCCCAGAGATTCCTGCAGAAGATGCAGCGAAAGGAATGGGAGGCTTTTCCACTGGGAATCAGAGCTGCTCCTCCTCAGGGAATTCATGCAATCAGGATTATCCGGGGCTGCACAGGGTCAGCTTCGCTTCCCGGGCACTCAGCGAGCTCCTGCTGGGCATGCGCCATGCAGCCCCTGGGTACCCAGCCCAGCTCCAGCATGCACCCCTGTGCATGTGCTGCACCCCCACACTGCACCCGCAATGCAACTGCAGCGCGCGATGCAACCACAGTGCTCAGCACAACTGCAGCGCTCAACGCAACGCAGCCCGTGATGCAACCGCAGAGCTCAACGCAACCACAGCAATCAACACAACCCCAGGGTGCAACACAAGCGCAGCGCACAACGCTTCCAGCACCCAATGCAACCGCAGCGCTCAGTGCAACTGCAGTGCTCAACACAACCGCAGTGTGCAACACAACCGCAGTGCGCAACACCACTGCAACACTCAACACAACCGCAGCACCCAATGTAACCGCAGTGCTCAACACAACCGTAGTGTGCAACACAACCGCAGTGTGCAACACAACCGCAGTGTGCAACACAACCACAGTGTGCAACACAACTGCAGCGCTCAACACAACCGCAGTGAGTGCAACTGCAGTGCTCAACACAACCGCAGTGTGTGCAACACAACCGCAGTGTGCAACACAACCACAGTGTGCAACACAACCGCAACGCTCAACGCAACTGCAGCATGCAACGCTACTGCAGCACTCAACACTACTGCAGCACACAGCTCAACTCCAGGGCTCCACGCAACCACATTGCACCCAGTGTGCAATGCAGCAGCAGCGCTCAACGCAACCGCGATGCAACCGCAGCGCACAGCACACAACGCAGCCAGCTCAGCGGTGCTTCCCCCACAGAGAGGGGCACCTGCCCGGCCCCCAGC